GGGACTACAGGCTCCCGCCACAACGCCCGGCTATTTTTTGTTGCAGTTTGGCCGGGGCTGGGTTTGAACCCGCCACTCTCGGTATATGGGGCCGGTGCCCTACTCACTGAGCCACAGGCGCCTCCTGGCTTATTTTCATAGTTCCAAAGAATCCCAATTTGCAACCTTGAGATTGTGAATTGTTATAGGAAATCACATTTCTTAGAATGTTTATTGTAGAAACAGTATTTTTTTCACTTAAATCTCTCTCTCTCTCTTTTTTTGAGACAGAGTCTCATTTGTCATGCTTGATAGAGTGCTATGGTGTCATAGCTCACAGCAACCTCAAACTCCTGGGCTTACGAGATTTTCTTGCCTTAGCCTCCCAATTAGCTGTGACCACAGGTACCTACTACAACACCTGGCTATTTTTAGAGACAAGGTCTCACTGTGGCTCAGGCTGGTCTTGAACCTGTGAGCTCAGGCGATCCACTTGCCTCAGCCTCCCAAGTGCTAGGATTATAAGTGTGAGCCACCTCGCCAGGCCATTTTTTCACTTAATGTTGTAAATTCCATTTACCAAAGGAGATGGATTATATTAACCAACCTTATTATGAGTAACCACTCATTAACTCAACAAGAATAAAAAATTGTATAGAACCTCTTAAAATTAGAACAATGATAAAGGCAATCCTCATGGTAAAAATTAATTTTACCTATAAAATAAGTGGCTCTAAATTATTACAATTAATTTTTTTTTTTTTTGAGATGGAGCCTCAAGCTATCCCCCTGGGCAGAGTGCCATGGCATCACGCTCACAGCAACCTCCAAATCCTGGGCTCAAGCGAGTCTCCTGCCTCAGCCTCCCAAGCAGCTGGGACTACAGGCGCCCGCCACAGCACCTGGCCATTTTTTGGTTGCAGCCATGATTGTTGTTTGGCGGCCCGGGCTGGGGATTCGAACCCGCCACCTTAGGTGTATGCGGCTGGCGCCCTAGCCGCTTGAGCCACAGGCGCTGAGCCTACAATTAATTTTTTGAGACAGGGTTTCTCTCTGTTGCCCATGCTAGCGTTCCATAGTCTCACCATACTTCATAAATTCTCACTCTTTGCCCTGGGTAGAGTGCCATGGTGTCATAGCTCACAGCAACCTCAAACTCCTGGGCTCAAGTGATCCACTTGCCTCAGCCTCCTGAGTAGCTGGGTCTATACACACCTGCCACAATGCCCAGCTAGTTTTTCTATTTTTAGTAGAGACAGGGTCTCTCTCTTGCTCAGGCTGGTCTCCAACTCCTGAGCTCAAGGAATCCACCCTCCTTGGCCTCCCAGAGTGCTAGAATTACAGGCGTGAGCCATCACCATGAAATGGGAAAATGCACGAAACTGGAGAAATGTAGTAGTATAGTCAAGCATTATGAGCCCCTTTGAGAATAATGATACCAAATGCAGGGAAAGTCAGTCAGCCAGACGGTATGGTTTGGGATTCTTCTCCACCCTCTCCATTTTGCTTCAGGTTCAGGATAGAGTTTCCTCAGAAGAACTGGAGAAATGAAAGTGAATACCTGGGCATGATTTTCATGATAAACAATAGAATCTTAGTTGTTTAAGGAAGAAAGCCAGAACTTGAGGACTGTGTGAGGAAGAATATCAAAAAGGTAGTAGAAGCAATGGATTTCGATAGGATCAATATATTTGGGTCTCAGCTAGATCCATCTCTACCAAAAATAGAAAAACCAGCCCCGCATGGTGGCAGGTGCTTGTAGTCCCAGCTACTTGGGAGGCTGAGGCAAGAGAATCGCTTGAGTCCAAGAGACTGAGGTTGCTGTGAGTTATAATGCCACACAACACTCTACCCAGGGCAACAGAGTGAGACGCTGTCGGAATGAATGAATAAATAAATAAATGAATAAATTTGTGTTTCAGTAGAGTGGAACAGTTTTTGGAGTATTATCAGAGGGAGATAGACAGGAATGAAGCTGTGGTGGGAGCGTTAGATGAATACAATTTGAGACGATGGAGGGTTACAATTATTGCTAAGGAGAAGATCTAAACAGACGTCCTCAAACTACGGCCCGCGGGCCACGTGCGGCCCGCCGGGTATTTTTGCCGCTGCTGCCTGTCCTGCTTAGCAGCCAACTCATTCAGGGGCCCGCAGTCCGGCCCTCCAACGGTCTGAGGAACAGTGAACTGGCCCCTTGTTTAAAAAGTTTGAGGACCCCTGAAAGATATAAACCTGGGAGTGAGAAACTGAGGCGATTGTTCCTAGACAGGAATCCGGGAGGCTAGAGGATTGGACGAATCATCTCAGAGAATGTTGAAATCACCAATAATTACGACAATAGTAGTAATGAACGACAGTAAACCAGACACTAATACCTGAAAGAATGATGGTAAGTGACAGAGGAGGACTAACACAGTCGACTGAAATGAGAGGGAGCACTCCTCTCTAGTCATGACGTAATATTTAAAGGTCTCCTCCTTTTTAAAGGGAGCCAGGGAGGATTTGAGGTGTGCGGCTCCTTTAAAGGCCGCGACGGAGGTGCGGAGAGGGCGGGGGCAGAACGAAGCTGGAGGTCGGGCTTGGGGCTGGGACACCTCAGGGGAGTCTGCGCACTGCGAGAGGAGGCGGGGCCAAGCTCGGCTCGCGAGCCCGGGCGGGGCGTCCCGGGGGCGGAGTTTGCGCTGCTGTACGGGCTGAAGCTGCGGCTGCTGCACTTCTATCTTCCGAGGGAGAGAAGCCGAGGCCTGGGCCGAGCCCGGAGCCGCCGCTCGCCGGAGCCTCCTGGAGCCCCTGCGCCGGCTCAGCTTGGGGGCGGGCTCCGGTCCGGCCCGCCGCCGCTCCCAGGACAGAGGCTGCATGCCCGAGGACCAGGCCGGCTCAGCCATGGTGAGGGAGCGAGGCCTGCCGAAGCCGCAGCCGCCCGCCACCTTAGCCCCCGCTGGCCTGCCCCTCCCTAGCTCTGGTGTCCCCCTCCGGATCTGTGCGTTTACCTCGGCCCCTTGTTACTGGCCACTCGGTTTCCTGCTCCTTCTTCCCCGTGTACCCATTCACTTGCTGGGGGGGAGCCCCGTAGGTAACACCCCCTTAATCTCCCTTCTTCTCAGTGACATCCTTTTTTTATCACCCCCAGTGACAGCCTTGTTCTCGTTCACTGTGCCACCCTCTCTGCGTCCTTTAACCTGAACCCTTCCTTCCTTTTCTCTACTATTTTGCCTTTTTCTCTCTTCTGTGATCTTTAGTCCTCTCTCCCTTTTCCTCCGCATTTTTTGCTTGCTTCTCACCAGTCCCCCTCCCTTCGCCGTTTAATCTCCACTGCCCCCTTCTCTCCGTGTCCCTTCTCCCCTTCGTCCTCTCATCCACATTTCCTCTCCTCCTTATCGGATGTCCTCCCTCGCCCCCTCTTACAGCTGTCCCCATTTCCTTCTACAGGCTTCTGGGGTCTAAGCAGGAACAATTGAGGACTATTGCTTCCCGGGAGCTGTAGGGCGGGCAGATAGGAATTCTTTTTCCTTTTCTTTTTTGGAGAGGAGAAGGGGGAGATTGGAGGTATTGAAGAGAGAGCCTGGAAGCCTTATTAGTGTCATTGTTAAATCTGAGAGATGGTGTGTTACAGAGTGATGAAGTGAAGGCCAGCATGCACGCTGTGACCTTATGAGATATTTAGCTTTTTGACAGAAATAAGTTTAAAACTTTTGATTTTTAAAAAAATTTTGAGCATCTTTTGATGGAGGGTACAGTTTGGGAAATGGAAAACTATTTGTTTACAGGCTTGACTATTATAACTTAGAACAAATGATTTTTTTTTTTTGGAGGCAGAAACCAAGGGCATTTGAGGACTGACAATCAACTTGGTTGGCAGTCAGATTGTGACAGCCTCTTTAATACCTTCTCAAGGGTTCGTTTATTTTGCCATCTCTGCTTTACTTGGGAGAACCTTCTATTTGCAAATTTTTCAAAATAGGTTCAAACTTCAGTTTCCATTCAGTTGAATTACACGTGGTTTGCAGTAGATTTATTGAAAACATTGCTCCTGCTCCGTCACATGCACCTCCGTCACATGCAACAAGCTACATTTTGGTCTCTGAGAGGAATAGATGTTCTAGTCAAAACTAAATCCTGATAATTATGTTCTCCTAGGAGGTTAGTCGGTTTTTGTTTTCCCTCGATCTGTGCTTTAGGAAAGTGGATGACTATAAAGTCATTTAATCTATGGACTTTCCCTAACTTCCTGACTCTTGGATTTTTAGGTTGTCATTTTCCTGTGTCTGTCTCCTTCACTTTCACAGCCCATCACCTTGTTACTGTGTGCTAACCTGTTTCTCCCTGTGGAATGTGGGTTCTGGTAGGCAGCAACTGTGCCTTATTCCTGTTATTCCTGGTGCTCAGGCCAGCTAGGTGCTTGGATGATTTACTTTACCGTCTCATTTTCCTACCTGATAAGTATAATCTTAAACCGAAATTTGAGACACTGGACTACCCAGTGTGCGTTTGAGAATCTTATTTTTGGTGCAAAAGAAAATTTAGTAAAATATGTTGCTATTCTCTTCAGAATAACAAGCCATTCTGTTGAAGACATCAAGTTGTTAGATTTTTGGAAGTATGATCCCTCTTATGGAGAATTAATGTATAAATAAAGAGGGAGGAGCTATGTACTCATCTTTGGGTATTTGAGATCCCAAAGCGTCATTTGAGCTGGACCAGAAAGATGAATAAGATTTATATAAATCGTTTTGGGAAGAGAAAGCATGCTTCATTGTAAATGTGAGTAGAAAGTGGAAGGGAATTGGGATGCATGGTAGGAAGCAGGATTACCTTTATAAAGAAAAGAAGATGTATAGTAGAAAATACAGGTATCATTTTAGTCCATTTAGTCTGCTATAGCAAAATATAGTACCCACACATAATGGAGGGGACAAAACAACTCTCTGGGGCCCCTTTTATAAGGGCACTAATCTCATTCATAAGGGTTCTGCTCTACTGATCTCATCACCATTCAAAGGCTCTGCCTCCTCATACCATCACCTTAGGGATTAAGATTTCAACATATGAATTTTTAGGGGGCATAAGCATTCTGACCATAGCTGTATTAGGCATGATTATTTAATTTATTTATTTATTTGAGACAGAGTCTCACTTTGCCCTTGGTAGAGTGCTTGATGTCACATCTCACAGCAACCTCAATCTCTTGTGCTCAAGCGATTCTCTTGCCTCAGCTTCCCTAGTAGCTGGTACTACAGGCGCCCACCGCAACACCAGGCTATTTTTTAGAGATGAGGTCTCTCTGTGGCCCAGGCTGGTCTGGAACCTGTGAGCTCATGCAAGCCACCTGCGTCAGCCTCCCAGAGTGCTAGGATTACAGGTGTGAGCCACTGCGCCCAGCCTCTAAACATGATTATTTTTTAAGACTTTGCCTCCAACCAACTTGTTTTTTCCTTACTTGTTGACACACATGTACACACAGTAAGAGTACAGAAGAGGTGAAGAGGCAAAATATTAGCCGATTATGAGCTAGCAGTCGTCTGTAGAGGCTATTTTTTTGTTTGTTTTCCTTGTACATTATGTTTAGTAGTCACTCAATAAGTCAAATGAATGAGAAATTATTATAAAACTTTATATTTTATATTTGTCAGATGTTTCTTATGTGTATGAGATGTTTAAGATGCGTTTTCAGACTTTAAAATGAGAATGACCTGGAGGGCTTGCTGCGCCCTACTTGATTCATTAGGTTTTGGGTAGGGTTTGAGAGTTTGCATTTCTGACAAGAACCCAAGTAATGCTGATGTTGGTGGTTTGTGAATCACAATTAGAGCACCAAGAGCCCTTTTCTTTTTATTTATTTATTTATTTATTTATTTTTGAGACTCTGGTCTCACTGTGTCGCCCTCAGTAGAGTGCTGTGGTGTTACAGCTCATAGCAACCTCAAACTCTTAGGCTCAAGCGATTCTCTTGCCTCAGTTCCCAGATAGCTGGGACTACAGACTCCTGCCACAATGCCTGCCCATTTTTTTTGTTGTTGTTGCAGTTGTCATTGTCTATCTGGCCCAGGCTGGGTTAGACCCTGCCAGCCTCAGTGTATGTGGCTGGTGCCTAACCATTACTATGGGTGTGCTTTTGGAGTGCCATTGACTCCATTGGCATTCGGGATATCACAGGTGGTAAAATAGATGTGGTCCCTGCCTTTTGTATCTTATGTATGTGTAGAGTGATTTTAAATGTGAAGAGTTTCAGTACATTTTTTTTTTAAGAGACAGAGTCTTGCTTTGTTGCCCTCTGTAGAGTGCCGTAACATCACAGCTCACAGCAATCTCCAACTCCTGGGCTTAGATGATTCTCTTGCCTCAGCCTTCCAAGTAGCTGGGACTATAGGCACCCACCAGAATGCCTGGGTATTTTTTTGTTGTTGCAGTTTGGCTGGGGTGGGTTTGAACCCGCCACCCGCGGTATATGGGGCCGGCGCCCTACCCACTGAACCACAGGCACTGTCCAGTTTCAGTACATTTTGAATGTGCTAAGAAAGGAGAAATAGTAGCATAATGGAATGGGATAGTCAGGGATGGCTTTGCAGAGGATCTTACTTCCAAGTAGAGAACTAAGGGGTCAAATTATAGTGTTGTGGAAAGAGTAGTCCAGACAGAAGGAACAGCATGTGCAAATAACCCGTGGTGGTGTTCTCTCTTGGCTTGCTTAACTGTGACATATCCTGGAGTTCTCAATTCAAGGAACTCAAGGAAATCCTATCTGCTCCACCTGCCCTTCAAAAAAATCTAGATCACACTGCTGTTTATTATGTAGCTCTGTTTTTTTTTTTTTTGAGACAGAGTCTTACTATGTCATCCTCCGTAGAGTGCTATTGCATCACAGATCACAGCAACCTCCAACTCCTGGGCTTAAGCTATTCTCTTGCCTCCGCCTCCCAAGTAGCTGGGACTGCAGGTGCTGGCTACAACACCTGGCTATTTTTTGGCTGCAGTTGTCGTCGTTTAGAAGGCCCGAGCCAGGCTCGAACCTGACAGCCTCCATATATGTGGCTGGTACCCTATTCACTGAGCTATGGGCACTAAGCCTATTATGTAGTTCTTTCTTATAGAATACATATTAATTGTACTTTTTTTTTTTTTTTTTTGAGACAGAGCCTCAAGCTGTCCCCCTGGGTAGAGTGCCGTGGCATTACAGCTCACAGCAACCTCCAACTCCTGGGCTCAAGCGAGTCTCCTGCCTCCGCCTCCCAAGTAGCTGGGACCACAGGCGCCCGCCACAACGCCCGGCTATTTTTTGGTTGCAGCCGTCATTGTTGTTTGGCGGGTCCGGGCTGGGGATTCGAACCCGCCACCTTAGGTGTACGTGGCTGGCGCCTTAGCCGGTTGAGCTATAGGCGCCGAGCCTAATTGTACTTTTATATATCTTGTTTTAATTATTTCATTATCATCTGTCTCTACCTCTAGAGCATAAAAATCATATGTATAGAGATTATTCTGAACCAGCTGCTAAGGGCCCAGTGATGTTGTAGGCACTGTGGTTACAGTGGTTAAAAAACGGAAGACCAGGTGGCGACTGTGGCTCAAAGGAGTAAGGCACCAGCCCCATATGCCGGAGGTGGCGGGTTCAAACCCAGCCCCGGCCAAAAACAAACAAACAAAAAAATGGAAGACCAGGCCAGGTACTATGACTCATGCCTGTAATCCTAGCGCTCTGGGAGGCTACGATGGGAGGATTGCTTGACGTCAGGAGTTTGAAACCAGCCTGAGCAAAGTAAGACACCCCCATAGAAAAATCAGCCAGGAGTGGTGACATGAGCCTGTAGTCCCAGCTACTTTGGAGACTAAGGCAGGAGGATCACTTAAGCCCAAGAATGTGAGGTTGCTGTGAGCTAGACTGAGTCCATGGT